ATCTGGACCTCATATTTTCATCTGTATATCCGAATCAACACACAATTACTTTATTACTAATTATGCTAAAAATCTAATAAAATTTTGATAGAGTACGTAATGTTCAACAACTGAGACACCTTACTTGAATGGTCATGATCAAACGAGTCAATACTAAAGCTTATATCATTTTAATCTTTTAAAAAAATTTAGGTCCTAATTTAATCTTATTTATATTTAAATATATCAATTAAAAATATGTTATTAATAATATATAACCATAAGATTTTCTCATTAACATAGCGAAAGTGTTATTCTAAAATTTCATCATGTATAAAAACATCTCTCACTATAATTAACATTCCTAAATAATGTTGTCCCAATATTCATATTCAAATTCTAAGTAAAAATTTTTAACATTCATAAGTTTAATATTATTACATTTATTATTTTAAAAAATAAAGATTCATTTAAAGCATAACCTAATCGTTATGAACACGTAAAAACGAGCACATGAGTCACCTGGTCATCGAGAGCAAGCAACAACATCCTCAACATTTATATCATTACCTACACCACTTGAATGGTCGTGAGATATGAATATCCTAATAAGTGTAACATGCATGGTTTTACATTAAAACTTTTATGCATGAATGTCTTTAGAATTCTTTTCCTTATTTGGGCCCACTAAAAGATATTAACATCGGTTAGCGAGGTCTAGCCTTAATAAAAACATACATAAAAATATTAACCTTAATATTTAACGATCAAAGCTCGGCGTGCATTTAAAAATAACCTCATTTGTTTAATTAAACCATTTTCTTTCAATCAACATATAAAACATATGTATGTATATGAATGCATCTTAAGACCATCACATCACATCAATCACATAAAAAATATAGAACATTTACGTCCATGATGTAGGAAGTTACACTTACTTGATTCGCTTAAGACCATTGGTTATTGTAACCTTCCATAAAATTCGAGTACCTTGACTTGATTTAGAGCCTTGAACATACACACCATGTAATATAAGAAATTGAACATTATTATTTTATCTCTAATCATTTATTTATTTTTATTAATTTCTATTATTTTCTTGTAATTTTTTTAAATTAAAAGTCCTATTTAAATCATCAAATCTACTCTAATTTATTCAATCCTCCTTTAATTATATTCATATAATCTAATGTTATTAAATTTTAACTTAGCATTTTCAATTCTTATTTAAATACACTTGATCATCAAATATTCTTTAAAAATTTAAGATTTTAATAATAAAATATAATTTTTACATAATCAATCCTAAATCATGAAATTTCTAACTGATCAATTCTACCTAAAATCATATAAAAAATTAAATTAAATATTTTTTTACCTTGAATATTTAATCACCAAGACTTGAATCTTCTTTCAAATACCTTTGATTTCATTTCTTACTTAATTATACTCTCTCTCTCTCTCGAAATATAAGCTTATGAACTGGCTTTTCTAAATGAGAAGAATGACACCATATATATAGGCATGGAAAGTTGAAACATTTAGGAATTTTAAATGCATGAATTAAAAATAATAAAAGACCATTATCTTTCTTCTTTTATGGTCATTTGCTTTTCTTTAATGGCCACTAACCTCGCTTCTTTTATGGTCATTTTCTTTTCTTTCATGGCCATTCATGTCTCTTCTTTAATTTTAATATATGTTTCAAATTAAAACCTTTGCTTTTCTTTCATAACCACTAACATTCCATTAAAAAATCTATTAAAACTTATAATTAATTATTATTATTATTATTATTATTATTTATCTATTTTATTATTACTATTTTAATTCTTAATTCCTAATAGCTTAGGCTAAGATTATTGGACTAGTTCCTATTTATAAAAATAAAATCTATAATACCTAAAAATATATATTATATCCTAAAACTTCATACCTAATTATCACATCCTTTAAACATATAAAAAATATTAAATTGCATACACAAATAAAGCATATTTGTACACATATACACACAATATATTATTATGCAAAGTTTTTTAGTATTAAAGAGTCTTTTCTATAAATTGGACGTTTTTCAATTCAAAAAGAAAAAAACTATATATATATCAAAATACAAGACATGTAAATATTTTTAATTAATCATTTCCACACAAACATCAATAAAAATTGACATTCAAGCAATCAAATAAATCAATTTTTGCACATCGAAACCAAGCACTTGCTTTAGATAATTCATTAAATTAAATCTCAAACTCGTCCCCTTAGCTCCATTGCAGAGCATTGAACTTATTTCTTCTCAATTTTTGAGAGTTTTTGACCCCTCAAGTTTGATACGCTATGACATATCTCATTACACTTCAACAATCATCATGTAAAATAAATTCATTATCAATTGTCATAACTAACTAAAAATTGGTCTATGGTATAAATTATAAATTAGAGTTTCGATAACTTACCTTGCGAGTAGGAGTAGCTGGAAAATTATTGAAGCGATTGGAGTGAATGCATAATGCTACCGACCAGTCGCAATAATTTTGTATACGAATAATTAATGTCATAGTTCATACACTAATTAATTATTTATCCGTATAAAAAAAAATTGACTAACAAATAATTTATCAATTTTTAAAACTTAAGTTCAAATAATCATATATTATGTCAATTTTAAAATAATATTTTAAATTTTAAATTTTAAATTAATTTATTATTTTAAATCCAATAACTTAATTATTCAATGACCTTTATTTTTAATCATTGTATAACAAATTACGTACTCAAAGTTTTATCCTAATTTTTCAACATCCAAACCTAATTAATTTAAAACAATTCTAATAAATTAAAAATATACTCAATTAAATTTCAAATAACATAAATTGAGTTTCTAGTATATTTACTAATAATTAATTACAATACACAATAAGATAAATTTTCATACACCTAAAAAATAGTAAAATCAAGAGTAATACACAAAACACATAAATTAAATATAAAATATGAATTAGAAAAAAATATACCTTATTGGGCTTCTTTTTCGGTAGAGAAAGAGAGAGACACACAAGGCGACGCATACCTAAGAGAGAGGAGAAACAATGACTATGTTTATGAAAAAATGGTTGAAGTGGCTAGAGATTGATAGAAGGTGGATGAGTGGTATTTGTGAGGTGTTTGGGGGGGGGCGAAGGGGAGGGGTTATAGGTGACGGCTATGCTTTGGGACGAGAGGAGGAGAGGTAGAAAGAAGAAAAAAATGAGAGAAGAAAGAGGATTCTACAATTTAGAGATTTATTTTTAGTGACGGTTGCAACTCCATAGCTAATCCATCGCAATGGATTTAAGTGTCCATCGCTAATTTTTAATCTCAAATGACCATATTTTTTGCTAAAAATAGTAACAAACCGACATAATCCATTGTTACTATTGATAAATTTTGTGATGAAAACGTATCCTTCATTGATTTGCAACAATATCAAAGGGTCTAGAGATAAAATATTCCCTCGCTAACTAGACCAAAATGAAAAACCAAAAATAGCAAAGGTCTGAATGTTATCATAATTTTATCGTTAATTCGTTGCTGAAATAATCACAAATATTTCACCACCATATTTAATGACGAACCATGATGGACTACATCCGTCATTCAACTTCCGTCACAAATTGATTGATAGTCCGTCTCTAAATCCCATATTCAAAAATCATTCGCTAAGCCATCCCTATTTAGCTATTAATTATAATATGTTGCTATTATCTCGTCTCTAAGTTGTTGTTTTTTTTTTGGTAGTATTTATTTCAAAGAAATTGATTTTAGAATATTAAACAAATTAATAACAAATGGTTGATGTTATGTGTGTAGATAAATAGTTAATTTCTAATAAAACTAATTATCTCGATTATATATGTGTGTGTGTGTGTGTGTGGGCGCGCCTACCCAATATCCAATTTTGATTTGATGGTTTGACTTATTGTAATATTGTATATTGTCTCTAAGTCTTTTCTATTAATTCTTGTTGTTTATATTTATTGATAGAATTAGATAGAAATTTATATGATATGCATTGCATTAATAGCGGAATCGGTAGTCCCGTCTCTAAGGAAAACGAGTCCTTTAGAAGCGACTATAAATTTGTTATGAATCCTCAAGTCGTTTAGCATACAAATTGTGAATATGACGAGTCCTTTGTGAAATATATTCAGCATGCCGAATAAGGCGAGTCCTATTCGAGGATTGCAACTTCGCGAAGCAATTGTGAATTTGTGACGGATCTTCATGATCGAGAACAACACATACATCTCCGGAATCTTCTTCGATATACACATTAAGTGGAGTTCCAATGAGAAGTTGACTAAAAATGGGCAACAAAAATGTGAGAAGTGGGGAATCGACCAAAGTTGTGACTTCTTCATATACCAACTATCATCCTATTTGATTTGGACGAACGGACCTCGGAATTCATGAAACGGTATGAGTGTGGTAAAAATTGAATAAAAATTATCAACCTAATTTTGAAGTTTTTTGGACCTAATTCGATGTCTAATGGACTAACGATTAAAACTCACGAAGCTTAGCCCATGACGTAAGGGTCATTTTGATAATATATATATATATTGTTTAAGCCCTCAAAATTCTCTTTTACTATTTTTTGGGATTTTTTTCTAATTTTTCAGGATTTTAGTATTTGTTTCCTTTTTGAATTGCTTTAGGATTTTAGCTGAAATTTACTATTTATATATGACTTTGAAATAGAAAAACGCACCTTTTCTTGGCTAGCAAAGTTTTATGAGAGAACATTTTAATTTTATTTAAAATTTTGGAATTCTTTAAATCAACGGGATTGAAACTTATTTCTTAGTATTTGTGTGCAATTCAATAGATTATAGTAGATTGACATCTGAATTTCATATGAACGGTATTTATTTTCTTTCTTTTGAGCTTCCGCTACGTCACTATTCATGGTAAATCATGAATCAAACTGTTGTAGACTTTCTAATTGAAATTTTTTTTTAGATGCCACCTTATGTCTACCAGTAGTTCCTACAAGAACAGGAACCATCTTTGAAATGGTGAAAACGAGTGGCATCTCTTACAATTATTTCTCTGCCCACAAGCTTCGAGATAAATTTGATAGCAGTGTGACAGTCATTACAGACTCGAAGGTTCTTCATAATCCGCAATGTAGTGTTTTCTGGAGTACTTATTATCCCAAATGCGATGGCAAGTTTCTCGCTGTGATATCTAAGAATCTGATCTTTCACCTCCACTTCAAGGTCATGCAATACAGACTCAGTATCTGGAACAAAACCCATCTTTTTTATCTCCTTCCAGATCTTGTCCATCATCTTATAGATTTCGTCTTTCTGTGGGTGAAAACCATCTTCCGCTCCAAATACATGGGTTTTGTTCTGGATCTGAACCCAACTAAGTCCTTGCTCCTTTTTTACTCCTCTATTCTTCATCGATTTTCTAATTTTCGCAGCATCGTCCCATTTCCCACAAGATGAATACACATTAGCAAGGGCAGAGTATGCTCCGCTATTGTTAGGCTCGATAAGAAGCAGTCTCTCTGCCGCAATTTTTGCCAGATCGACATTTTTATGAACCTTACAAGAAGATAAAAGCGATCCCCAAGCTATTACATCTGGTTCTATAGGCATATTTTCTGTAAATTTGTATGCTTCTTGCAGCAACCCAGCACGGCCAAAGAGGTCAATCATGCATGCATAGTGGCTCAGGGTGGGATCAATTTTGTGTACATTTTTCATCAAATCAAAATAGTTTCGGCCCTGCTCCACCAATCCTACATGTGTACAGGCAGAGAGCACACCAACATAAGTTATATGGTCAGGCTGGATGCCAAGTGCCAACATCTGTTCAAATAGTTCTATGGCTTCTTCTCCAAGGCCATGTTGAGCTAAAGCCATAATCATAGAAGTCCAAGAGACAGTATCTCTGTTCCGACGTCCGATATTGAATACTTGCCGTGCACCATTAATGCTTCCTGCTTTTGCATAAATCGTAATCAGAGCATTGCCCACAGAAAGTGATAATGCCTCCCCTGATTTTACTGCACTTGCATGAATTTGTTTTCCATGACTCAAAGATGTCACACTTGAACTGGCACTCAACATTGCTGCTAGAGTGAAACTGTTTGGCCGAGGCCCTTCACTAACCATTGTTCTGAATAGCTCTATAGCATCACTATTCAAGCCATTTTGTACATAACCTACAATCATGGCAGTCCATGCAACTACATCGCGGTCTTTCAATGAGTCAAATATTTGTCTGGCTGGGTTTATATCACCAAGCTTGACATATCCATTCAATAAGGCCGTAAAAGCTATAACATCAAGATCTGAAATTCCACTCTGCTCTATGATTCTGTGAGCAATTTTAACTCCTCCAGACTTTGCATACATTGAGATCAAAGCATTTCCCACGGCCCCAGAAGTGTTGAACATTGTCCGAACAATATAACCATGAATTTGTTTCCCAAAATTCAATTTCTCAAGATTGGCACAAGCTGATAAAGCACTTGCTAGGGAAAACCTATCAGGCTTCAGAGAAGTATCCTTTAACATACTAGAGAAGAACTGTAATGCTTCATTATCAAAACCATGCTGATTGCATCCTGCAATCATTGAATTCCAAGTAACAATATCCCGTTCACTCATTTGCTCAAACTGAGCAAGAGCGAGGTCAACCCTATCACAATTCATATGCAAGGAAATCATAGCATTCCAGCTTGATGTGTTCCTCAACTTCATCCTATCAAAAACAACCTTGGCCATCACCAAATCCTCTGTCTTTCCGTACATATTCAAAAGCGAATTTGCAACAGGAACACACGCATGAAGTCCTAATTTAACAACAAAAGAATGAACCTTCTTACCTATACCTCCAGACCCTATAGCAGCACATGCTGCAAGGACATTAGTGAGTGTGAACTGGGTCGGCGAAACTTTATCCTTCACCATATCTACAAAAATCTTTATCGCATTTTCAAAACAACCCATTTGATTATAACCCACAATCATTGTAGTCCACGAAACAGAATCACGAAGAGGTATTAAATCAAACACCTGATGGGCTTTGTCTATTTTCCCCTGCTTCGCATACCCAGAAAGAATTGTATTCCATGAGAAAGTGGTCTTCACAGGCATTTCATCGAATAAATTGTGGGCATCTAAAAGAAGCCCAGTTTTAGCATACAAGTTCATGAGGTTGTTCATTAAATAGACACTAAAGTTAAGGCCTAATTTAATCATCTGGGCATGGATTGATTTTCCTTTTAAAGGGTCTCTGGATTTAAGGCTAGTTTGAAGGAGATGGGCACATGAATCTGAATGAGAAGAGAAATAGGGTGGGTTTGGGATCTCCATCAGAGGCTGGATTAAAAGGGCTTAATGATAATTAGGAGTGTGTTTAAAAGTTTTGTTTTGATAGAATTTTTGTTCGGTTCATAGCACGGAATTGATGCTTGCACTTTATGTTTAAAAGAGAGGTGAAAAAAAACTGGGATAAATAAAAGAAAAGAATTGGCGGGAATGGAAGTTGAGGCAGCTACGGTCGATTTTATTCGAGAGGCAAAGCCGGAAAACGTAGAGCTTTGGACCAAAGAACTAGAGCAGGTACGTAGGGCTGTTAATAGATCATATCTTAATTTTAATTCGATCTAATTTTGATATTATTAAATAGATTTTGATATACAGTTTTTTATGATTTAAATCTAATTATAATCTGAATATATCAACCGGTTTATTAGAAATATCAAATACGAATTTACCTCAATTTAATTCGATAATAATTCAATCCGAAATTAGTATTAATATTATTTTTAATAAACTTAATATTTTAAAATATGAAAATAAATTAGATTTATGGTTTATTTACTCTAGTTGCTAAGAAACATTCTATACTTGTGTTCTTTTTTTTCTCTCTCTACATTGACAATTATTTTTTCAAAAAACCACTTGATAAGTGTTTTTACATCATTTTTCAAGTCTGAAATTAATTTTGTGAAAAATTCTATAAACATATGGGAAAAAAATTAATGACTTGTTGCTAGTATTATAATTGCACTTTTAATTTATAAAATTTTGATTCAATCTAAATTTTTGTTAGTTTCAATTTTGTTATTTGCAAATTAACAACCGTCTAGACCATCACTAAATTATTATTATTATTATTATTTACCCTCATTTTAAATTAACCTATTGCTAATTCCATCGCAAAACAATTAGTGATGGTCTAATTCCGTTGCTAAAATATTATTATTATTATTATTACCCTCATTTTAAATTAATCAATTGCTATTTAAAAGTCTACAAAATACCCAAAACATAATATTTTAAAATTTCATAATTTTAATTATAAAATTTATTAAAATGTAATAAATATTATTCAATTATTAAATTGTTAAAAAAAGTAGAAAGTTTTTTGTTATTAAAATTAATTACTAATTAATTTTTAATTACTAAATGTAATTTACAAATAAATTAATTTTTTAATCGGTACTTAATTTCATAATTAATTAACTCCTTTACTTAATCAGCAACTAAATAAACTTAATTACTAATTAATTTTTTAATTCCTAAATAAAATTTTAAAATTACTTACTTTTGTAATTAATTAACTCCTTTACTTAATCAACAACTAAATAAACTTAATTACTAATTAATTTTTTAATTCCTAAATAAAATTTTAAAATTAATTAATTTTTGAATTACATAACTCCTTTACTTAATCAACAACTAAATAAACTTAATTACTAAAAAAAATTTCAAAATTAATTAATTTTTTAATTACTTAACTCCTTTACTTAATCAAAAACTAAATAAACTTAATTGCTAATTAATTTTTTAATCACTAAATATAATTTCAAAAATTATCAATTTTTTAATGACTAATTCTTTTTTTAATTACTAAAAATTGTAAATATTTCTAATAACTTATTAACAATTTTCTAAAATAATTAACTTTCCAAAATACCATCAATTAAACTAACTAAATTAATAAATAACATTTAACAATAAACTAACTAAATTAACAATTAACAATTAAACTAATAATAATAAACTAATAACAATAACAATTAAATTAACAACAAAAATTAATAACAATAAAATTTTCTTAACAATTAAACTCTCACAATTAACAAAAATTAATAACAATAAAATTTTCTTAACAATTAAACTAACTAAATTAACAATAAAAAAAATTAAATTAAATTAAGTAAATAATTGAAAAAAATAAAAAAATTAATTAAGGGGTTAGATGGGAAATGACCTTTCACCAACATAAGGAGGAGAGTGGGCTGCAGGTGGAGGGGCTTCGTCGGACTATTACGTTCGAAAAATGGCCGATTGAGGAAGGGGGAAGAAAGGAAGAAAGAATGAGGAAAATGAGGAAGAAAGGGGGAGAGATTGAGGGGAGAAAGGGAAGGAGGAGATTGGAAGGAAAATAAAAAAGAGAGGGGGAAGATTTAATGGAAATGGAAGGGAGATTGGCGTTGGAGAAGAAGAAGAGAGAGAAGAAGTTTTTTCTTGCACAATTTCGTGCAAATTGATATATAGGAGTTGAAAGTTTTAGCGACGATCTAAAAACCATCGCTAAAACCGTCACTAAATGTCTAAAAAAGTTAAAAAATAGTCGTTTCCCTCTTGATTAGTCATGGTCTAGCAACGGTTTTTAGACCGTTGCTAATTTACTAATTTTGCGACGTTTTTTTGTAAAAAAGCTGTCGTAAAAAAGGCTAGAAGAAATAATTTTTTAAAAAAAATTAAAATTAGCAACAGACTTTTTTTTGGAAAAAACCGTCACAAAAAATGGTTGCAAAAATTTCTTTTTAAAAAATTGAAATTAGCAACAATTTTTTTTTGAAAAAACCGTCGCAAAAAACTATCACAAATTTCCATGATTAGCGATGTTTTTTTTTACAAAAATCGTCACAAAAATGACTCGTAGAAATTTTTTTTAAAAAAATTGGAATTAGCGATGATGTTTTTTGGAAAAAAACCATCGCTAATTTCTCTCGTTAAAGTATTTCAAACTGTCGCAATTTTAGCAAATTAACAACGGTTTTGAGACCGTCACTAATTTTTCCTCGCAAATCCTTTGTTTTTTTTTTTGTAGTGTTACCATTAATTCTTGACGAGTATATCTAACAAATTGTTGTATAACCAACATATTCTAGGCAACGTGTCTATAACTAATGTTCAATTGAATGGAATAATGAGATCAAGAAATTTTCTTGAGTTGAGAATTAAAAGCTCTAACTTCAAAAGGAGTTCAAAGTGGTCGCTAAACACTCGTTGTCCAATTCTCATAATTTGTATTGCATCGAGTATAATTAAGTCTGCAAACATAGCATGCATTCGATCGGATATCGGGTAAAGGTTAAAAAGCAAATTAATTAGAAAATGCATAGAAAATCGAATGTATTGGTGGAGTAAGTTTTGAAAACAAATTTATTAAATTCTCTTATTTCGAAAGCTAATTATTTAATTTTCTTTGTCGGTGTTCACCATACTTAATTCTTGATATTATTTGTAATTGTTGATTAAACCGATTTACGGGATTTTGAGACATCATGTTATTCGGACGTAATTGAAAATTGATTATTGTAATTCGAGCATAGCATACATACAACAAATTAATTAGTTTGTTAATATAGAGCATTAAATTTGTTAGACCAAAAATTTCTTGATAAACGTAACAAGATCAAATTTTCATATTCTAATTAAAGTGATAATAACATAAATTGTAGCCTTGTAACCCATAGGCTTCTTGGTGGAGCATTAAATTTGTTAGACCAAAAATTTCTTTGTAAACGTAACAAGATCAAATTTTCGTATTCTAACTAAAGTGATAATAACATAAATTGTAGCCTTGTAGCCCATAGGCTCACCTGGTGCTTCAAAATTTAAGGAGCCCGAGTTATACGAGTTCGTATGATCATGGTATCTTCAAACAAAGAAATAACGAGTCCCTTGGAGGAAACAATGAAGTTATTATGGAAAGTATATGTGTAGATTTCCTATTAAGAAAATTAGAACTGAATTCGGTAATTAAGTCGGTGCATATATGTATATATTGATTTTTTTTTCTTTTTGATCTCCAATGTATTTAAAGCCCAAAATTTCAAACCAATCTCTCATTATTCTCTCGAAGCATACAAGGTGGACAAAACTATCCTTGAAGTTTTTTGCATAGATAAATATTCAAACTTGAGATCATTTACTTAAATAATTTGAGTTTTTTCTACTCAAACCAATCATCTTCGATACATTTATTAATTTGATATTAGCTATATCCCTTCTAAATATGGAAAATCACCAAGAAGAACTCTTATTAATTACAAGCTTACATAATTAGCCCTGAAGACCGCCCACTTCTTCTTAGACCACGAAAACAATACCTGCTTCAACTACGAAACTCTTAATGGCCTTGGCCTTCGTTGTCCTTCACCACAGCTCGTGGTCGCTGCCGTCCACACACAAAAACTCCGAGATTGTCACCAAACTAATCCATCGGGATTCAATTTTATCTCCTTACTACAAAATTTGTGCTTTAGGGAGATATATAAACCGAGATCTTACTTGGATTTCCGAGTGGTTGCGCTTCATTTTGCTTGGAGGAGCCGAATTCGGGTTAGAGATAGGAGGATTGTTTCGGGAGAATGGTCGCGGTGAATTTTGCATGGCTTTCCGTCAATCCAATCTCCATGGGGACACCGGCTCCATGTTTATGGTAAATTTGTCCATAGGTGAGCAACTCTTAACCATGGACACAGGTAGCAATCTACTATGGGTACAATGCCAACCTTGTATTCATTGTTTCGAGCAATATAGTCCAATTTTCGATGGTTCGAAGTCATCTACTTATAACAACTTAATGTGCAATTCTCCCTATTCCAATGATAATTCTCCAAAGGATAAGTGTGATGCTCTCAACAATTGCAAGTTCTCACATGGATATCTTGATACCACCGTAGCTTACGGTATTATGGGGAATGAAAAACTCACCTTTTTCACATCCGATGAGGGAATTATTTCGTCCACGATATGGTTTTCGGGTATGCTTATAATAATGATGGATTTAATGGCCAACCTAGTGGAATACTAGGTTTAGGGCCAACTAATATTTCTTTGGCAACAAAATTGGGGTCTAAATTCTCCTATTACATTGGCAATATCAATGATCCTAAATACGCTCACAACCTATTAGTTTTAGGGAAGAAGCCATAATAAAAGGCGATTCGACCCCTTTCGAAATTTTCAATGACCTTTATTATCTAACCATGGAGAGCATTAGTGTTGGGGGTGAAAGATCTCGATATTGACCCAAAAGTCTTTCAAAGGGATCCCGAAGGTAAAGGAGGAGTTCTCATTGACTCGAGCTTAGCTTCCGGAAGAAGGTGCATACGAGTACACTAAGTGATGAAGTAAGGAAACTTCTTGATGGGAAGCTACTACGTGTCAATGACCCCGATGATCCAACAAATTTGTGCTATAAGGGAGATATAAACCGAGATCTTACTCGGAATTGCGGTGGTTACGCTTCATTTCTGCTGGAGGAGCTGAATTTGGGTTAGAGATTGGAGGATTGTTTCGAGAGAATGGTCCGGTGAATTTTGCTTCGGGGCTTTCCGTCAATCCAATCTCCATGGATTGAATGTCGTTGGAGCAAAGGCTCAACGAATTATAATGTTGCTTATGATCTTGCTTGGAAAAAAGATTACCATGCATTGAGCGCATAGATTGTCGGCTTCTTGAATCTTGAGAGAATGTAATATTTGAAACTATTTTTCCGTCAACGTCTTTTAGGTTTTCAGTAATTTTATGAACACCTTTCAATTTAATAACATTTGTTTTATCATGTCGTTGAGTTAAGCTTAAATTTGAATACGTTTTTGATTAATTTTGAACCTCCCAAAACCATAGCGATCCTTTAGATTTCGAAATTATATGAACACCATTTTGTATGAAGGTTTCTCGTTGATCTCATGGCGTACGTTGTAACTTATAATGTCTTCATCGGATAATTTTATTTTATCAAATCACTCGCTTATGTTTGCTATCGTCCTGTTTGAGTAGTTGCACTCCTTTCGTTTGCTTGTTTGAAGTGAGGGACGAGTAGAGTTAAATGATTGAATGGCCTTTTCAAACATGGTGAATAAAAATTAAAACACATCTTTTGTTTACATCCTAAGAATGTCAAGTTGAGTTTTCCGATCTACATTACGAGAGACAACGAGAAGTGAGTGGACAAGCTACTGTCCTGTCGTATTACTTCGTTGTTGATCTTGTGTCCTTGCTTTTGTTAATATTGTTGTTGATTTCAGCTTATATCATAATTCTTGTAAGCAAAAGATGAAGATGAAGATGAATATGAAGAACAAGAAGATATCTAAGCAAAAGAGTGGGACCCGCAGATAAGACAAGACAAGACTTATTAAGACAGAGCCCACCCATCCCCCACGCAAACACACACAATCGCACACAATCTGGACTCTACACTCTTCTCTCTCCTCTTTTTATGCACGGCATCGTACCCGCACGTGTGCTCACTACACGTACTAACATTAACCAACATTAACGAAAAAAAGGACACAAACTCCTTTCTTTCATCGCTCCTCGATCTTCACTTACTTGTTCACTTCCTTTTGTTTGGTTTTGCTTGACTCACGAACCCTCAATCTTGGCCACCTCAGCAACACTTCAACAAAAGACTTTAAAAAATAAAATAAGATCCTTTGTTACCTTTAGAACCGCCACCGCCTTAACAAGAAAACCTAGTCGTTGCTCTATAAATTAAGAGGGGAAGATAGCGTAACCTTACAATTACTTTTAGTTCGTTCATTGTTTCGATTTTCTTTCGCAATTAGGGTTTCCCAATCTCTTCTCTTTGTCTCTGTTACTTCCCATTTCCTCCCTTTCTTTCTTTATCAATTATCAAGAAAGAAAGATAGAAAGTAATATCTCACTTTGAGTTTGATCTTATAGTAATTGGTTTCCTGCCAAGATTGATCGATCTACCTATTACTCATTGCTTTCCTATTTTTCTCCGTCATCATCATTCCTTAACTTGCAACTCTCTTTCTTTGATCTCACCCAAATTCCATTCCTTTCTTCTACATTCTAAATAACTCAATGGCTCTACTCGTCTCATCTAAACACACAATCCCCATCACAAACCCTAACCTTCCAACAATTACTCCATGGTTACCGCTTCGTCCCGATGAGCAAGAACCGGTCCGCTTTTTCTTTATCCAAAACTCACCGACCCTCTCTTCACCGCCTTTGCTCCCGTCGGAGAATGCGACCTCTACGCCCATCAACCCCATCAAATCCGGAACACCTTCCACAGGCTCCAAGGCGAAGATTTATTCTTCTTCACTAACCTCAAAAGGAAAACCCCCAGTTCCAATAATTTCATCCGCAAAATCGCCAATGGCCCCGCAACATGGCATAGAGAGGATAATAACCATCAAATCCATGTCCCAATTGACGTAAATTGCTCCGTGATTGCCGTCGGAAATGCTTTAGTTACCAAAATACTCAATCCGACCAACCCGTAAGGTGCGGTTGGACAATGTATGAGTATAGTTTGCCATCTCTTTCTCAAGTCATTGTTTTGTGCCATCCGACGAGGAAAGATGCCGACGAAAACAACCACCAAACCCAAAAAACGACCAAAAAAAGGAAGAGGGACGCCGAAGGTGTTGATGATGTAGCGAACACCATATCCCGTAAGGCCAAAGTTGATGAAAGCAATCGGAGCAACAGATCATGGGGGCATCGGAAAATGTATCCGAACTAGTTTTTAATGAGGTGAAATTTGACAACTTTGAGTCCTCTTCTCATGAAGTTGTGCGAGACTTTGACGATGATCGGATGGCTGTCCATTCCATTGCATCTACTAATTATATTGCAGCGCCAACCGTATCCGCTTCAAATTGTGCTAAAAACTTGCAACCAATTGCGCTCGGTGGTTGCTCCGACAAGGGAGTCGGGGTTCTAACCATAGAAACAACAACCGAGGCCGATCATGAGGTTCAAGCTACAGCAATTAGATCGAATCTAGTTGAATGCCTTACAACCGATGCAGCTTGATTCTCATCTTGACTCGAAGTTTCGATTCCAGTCCGAGCGACCATCGGATAGAATCGTTTTCGCAAAAGCTTCGAAAGCAAATCCTACATGCCCGATTCAGGAAAATGAAGTTCGGATGATTCCCAATACTCTTTATGTGGAGTGTTTACATAAATGAAAGATAATAAAGTATTGTCGCTTTGTTCATCGGTGAGAGTACATTAGCGAGCAACTCGAGAGTCAAGAGCGCTACTCGTCTCGTTTTATTACTCACTATTCTCGTCGTTCCGAACATGGACGGTTCTTTAGCATTGCGGGGTTTTTTTTTCCTATATTAATTAGGTATGTTAACGTGTAAAGAAGTTAATTGTTTCTTGGCACATGCTAAAGATTTCCAAATTAATCAAGTCATGTTTCGTAGCCTATCAAATTCCTATTTTTTTCCTCCGGTCTCGGACGAAATCCTAATTGGTTAAGAACAACATATTGAGCGTAATAATTTGTCATGGTTATTGGATAGTGGTAAAGGTTACCATATGATAATCCATATCCTACTCGAAACCATCATCTTGTTTTTTAGTTTGTGTATTTGCTTGAGTATTGATTTTTTTTTCCTAATCGACGTAAATCATGAAACCTTTTCATCACACAAACCCTTTTCATCTTATCTCGTCTTACAATACGGATCGAATAAAACATATAAAATTATTTTAAAAAATAATTTTAATTTAATAACATGTATTATATTGTATATCCGTTAAAATATATTGAATTAAAAATAAAAAATACCTAATTTTATAATTTATTTTTCTTTATATTTTCATCAATTATATACTTGACAAATATGATTTGTTATTTTTTTATGTATTGATTTTTAAATAAAAACCCGCAATAATCTAAATAGAATATTTAATCCAAAATTTTAAAAATTGCCTTAATATGTTTTTCATAAAATTACGTCAAACAATTAATATAAAAATTAACAAATAATTTTTTTTTCATTCTTATTTAATTATGAAGAGAAGATCATTTTAAAAAAATATATATGTACATTTGATTTATATATGTTTATTCACGAAATAATCAAAACATTAGTATAAAAAGTTTTATTTGAATCATTGAATGGTTTTTCTAAAATTATTTTATTTCAAAGAAACTGATTTTAAAATGTTAAAAAAATAATAACAAATAGTCTCTCTCTCTCTCTCTCTCTCTCTCTAATATATATATACATATATTAGCCATACTCCATGGGTTCGGGGTGTACAACATAAATAAAAATATTTAAAAAAAATAACTTGCAAAGAATATATTTAATAGACTAAAATAAAAAAATTTCAAAATTAATTTCGATAAATTTTAGTTATATAAAGAAGAAAAGAATAAAATATGTGAATTCAATTTTTTTTTAATTATTTTTTAGAACATTTGAGATAAATTATCTAAAAAGTTTTTTAGCTTTTTAACACTCTCATTTAAAAATCATAGGAATCCATCATATATATATTCTAAAGTTTTTTTTTTCAAAAAATCATGCATATAGAAAAATAAATCATATTTATTAAAAAATAAAATTAATTTCATGAGAGTTTCTATAAGAAACTAAAAATAAAAAAATCAACTTTAATGAATAAAAGTAATATAATCTGATACATATGTTCATGAAAAAATATAACATAATTTATCGGATAATCTGCATATAAAGAAAAGTAAATCATATTTATATATTAACAAAGAAAATTATATTAAAAAAATTAATTTTATGAGAATTTTCATAACTAAAAAATAAAAAATCAATTTTAAAAAATAAGAATAATATAATCCTATATATATATATATATATATATATATATATATATATATATATATATATATATATATATATATATATATATATATCATCAACTTGTGTGGAAAACCAAAAAAATAATAAATAATTTTTTATAATTTTTCCACCCAATTCAATAATAAATTTTTTAAAAATATAGTAAAAAAATAAAAAAAATAAAAAATAAAAACATTTCAATGTGTGTATGCACACACATATATATCAAATCAAAAATTTAATTTTTTTAAGATTTTGATTTACCTCTTTCATTTATTTTATTGTTTAAAACTACCATGAACACACTATTTTCACCAAAATAAAATGATATCAATTGAGCTATAAGCTTATTGGTTTTTCTATTTTATTTTTGGCAAATTTATTATTATTATTATTTTGAATCTCTAGGATATCTTGGATTGCAATATAGACATAGCTATCCAAGAAATTTTCTGTATACACAAATATTTAAACTTGAGATCATTTATTGAATCAATTAGAGCTTTTTTCGCTCAAGCCAACCTTATGAATGCAAGATTGGCCAAAAAAAAAAAAAAGAATCGATTGTGACTTTCTCTCTCCTCTTATATTTAAGGACTAAATTATGACATAAGTAAACTTAAAAACTAAAACAAAATTTCTAAAAATATTAGGAACCAAAGGGCAATATCATAGAAATTTGGATATAAATGTCTCAATGTTAACAATAAATAAATAGTATTTTATAAGTGTATAAATAGTTTAATATCTTTTAGTGTTTTTTTTTATTAATATAATCAATCTATAAATTCCTTTTCTTTTCCTTCAAATTGGAACCACGGTTTACCTCATTCTATGTAAAAATATCCTTCAAGCCATTAAACACCTATTCCTCTTATCTTTCTTATATTCGATGAGTAACTCATACAATGACTATGAGGTCATTACAAAATACACTACACTCCCAATCACAAACCCTAGAAACAATAACCCCTAAAATCCCTTATGGTTATCAATTTTGCCTCGATCATTAAGAATTAGTATGATTTTATCTTTATCTCAAGATCACTAACCCCGATCTCTTCACCATTGCCAATGATCGATATAGATTGCCATCTCTTTGCTAGAGAACCTTGTCAAATCCGGAACCTTTTCCTCAAATTCCAAGGTGAAGATCTCTTCTTCTTCACTCACCTCACTAAGTAAGGAAAAACCTTTGTCCATAAAATCAACCATGGCCCGAGAATCCGGCACCAATAGTTCAAAGATCCTCCCGTCAATCTCTCCATCGACAATAACCGCAAAGTCAAAGCAAAGACCTTAGAGAGAAAATGCTCTCTCGCAAAAACCTTTCCCCTTCTTCCCCTACCACCCAAACACCCTAGACAACCTACCTTTCCCCACCAAAAAACCCTAAACAACCTATTCTTTTCCCATCACGAATCTCCCTACACTAGAAAACGAAACCCTCACCTCGTCTCTTGCCCTAAACACACTCATACCTACTCAACGAAGAACCCAACAGATTCTTATACCTCTTCAGTACACAAATTATTTTGAATGGTTCGACATTGGATTGATTCAAGGTCTTCGCGAAAGGTTTTCATTGAGTATGGTAAGGTTAATGATTTATTTATCGCAAATAAAATTACTAAGCTTGGTTCACGATTTGGTTTTGTTCAGCTAGAATCCGACTTAAAGTTAGATATCTTACCGCATTATCCGAACGAAATATGGTTTGGATCCTTCAAATTAAGGGTTAACTTATCGCGATTTGAAAATATGGGGCTTAGAAAGGAACTTTTTGTGCTAGGTACAAAGACAAGTAGAGAAAACGAGGCGGACCCCTCGATGGTGATGAAGTTGAGAGATATGAGGCCTTATGCGAAGTGGTTTGTCCTGAAGGAACAAATTATGACAATTCGATATGAATAAAAAGGTTTTTTTTTATCGAAAGAAGAGGCGAATTTGGAGGAGGTAAAGAGAAGCATGATAGGAATTATTTCGGATGAGGTGAATTATGTTTACTTACAATCAAGTTTTGAGGACATAGGTCTTGACCTATTTCGACTGCGATTTCTTGAAAGTACGAAACTCGATTACTTTTGAATCTATCAATTCAATGCTATGGTGTTTGGAGGAGGTTGGTTCTACACTTATGCCATTCTTCGAAGCAACCCGTCCATAGGTTGTTGAAGATGCTACACATGATCGTTTTTGTTGGATTGATATATCCGGTTTACCGTTAATTGTCACAAACAAGATGATATCTAAGCAAAAGAGTGGGACTGCAGACAAGACAAGACAAGACTAATTAAGACACAGAGCCACCCATCTCCCACGCGTTAATCGCACACACTCGGATTCTAGACTCGCTCTCTTCGCTTGTTATGTACGGCACCGTACCTGCTCGTGTGCTCACTTCACTCACTAACATCAACTAATATTAATGGAAAAAACGAACATAAACTTCTTTCTTTTGTTGGTAGTCAAACCCGTTGCAATGAAGCAACAAATCACGACCACAAAAATGTACAAGGAGGTGCAGATTAAGTGGATGTATATTAGCTAGAAATGAGCTCGTACAAATGGTGCAAGTTGCGGTCAAAGGAGGTGCAAACTTCAGCGGCTATATAAGTCGTCAAAAGTCGATGAAATTCCAGCAAGAATTAGGTCATCAAAGTCGGTGGAATTTATGAAATACATGAGCTGTAAAGTCTTCAATTCCAGTAGGATATAAGGTGTCAAAGTCATGTATAAGTTGTCTAGATTAATCCTCAATCACGGTGTAGCATGTCTATAAATAGGAACTTGTGTTTGTTGTAAAGATGTATGAGAAGTAGAGAGATTATAGGAGAAAAAAGAGAGTAGAAACTTAGATAGTAGCAGCTATCAAGAGAAAAAATTGAGAGTGTTGTAACACCCATATATTGAGAGAATATTTTGGAGAGAGAGAGATTTCTTTTGTAATCACTATATCATCAATAAATATTTCCATTTGAATTAAAGCCTAACACGCTTCCAACAAGCTGGTATCGAGCACGGTTCGTGTCTTCCTTTCAAGCAAGATGATGGCACAAATGATTCAGCCTCAAATACCAAAATTAACAAATTCAAATTATGGAAATTGGAGCATCCAAATGAAGGTTCCGCTTCGGTTCACACGATCTATGAGAGATTATTGAAAAAGGATATATAGAGCTCGAAGATGCTATCGTCGAAGCATCTTTAACAAACGCACAGAAGACAAGCACTTAAAGAATCATGCAAAAAGGATAAGAAGGCCTTGTTTTTCATTTTCCAAGGAGTTGATGAATCAACATTTGAGAAAGTATCGGATGCCAAGACATCAAAGGAGGCATGGGAGATTCTGCAGAAATCTCTTCAAGGAGTCGAAAAGGCTAAAAAGGTACAACTCCAATCACTCGGAGCTGAATTTGAGACCTTAAAAATGCAGAATTCGAAAAGATCAATGATTACGTCACTCGTCCGAAAATGGTGGCAAACGATATGAAAAGAAATGGAGAAACTCTTGATGATGTTAGAGTGATGGAAAAACTCTTACGTTCGTTGACAAGAAAATTTGATTATGTCGTTACTCGCTATTGAAGAATCAAAAGATTTGTCATAAATCTCGATTGATGAGCTTGTGGGTTCTCTTCAAGCTCATGAGTAGAGAATGAACAAGAATGAAAGTACTTGGTAATATGGAGCAAGCTTTGCAAAGCAAGTTATATATTGGTGACAATTAAGCCAGCAGCGAGTTGTGGATGAGGTCGAGGAAATCGAGATAGCTACGAGAGGTGGCTACAAAGATGGCTACAGAGGTAACTACGGAGGTGGTTACAGAGGTGTACGTGGTAGACGAGGACGTAGCACAAACTCCTTCGAAAGAAGCCAAGGAAATGAAGGCTATCAAATATATGGTCGTGGTCGAGGATCTAGGAGTCAAGGAAGAGGCGATTTTAACAACGAGATGATAAATCACAATTGCAATGTTATAATTGTAACAAGTATGGTCATCTCGATTACGAATGCAGATTAGCACCAAAGATAGAGGAAACAAATCATTTTGCGAGCAGCAGAAGACAAAGAATATGAATCAGCCATTTTCTTAACATATAGAGGAAATGGAGAGTGCAAGAAAAATGTTTGGTATCTCGACACGGTGCTAGCAACCATATGTGTGGTTGTAAGGAGTTGTTTACTGATTTGGATGATACTATCCAATGAGAAGTTACTTTTGGTGACTCATCAAAAATTTCGATTAAAGGCAAAGGTAAGCTTATGATTACCTTAAAAAATGGAGAAAAAATGTATATACATGATGTTTATTATGTACTCGTATTGAAAAGCAATATCATCGACCTTGGCTAGCTCTTAGAAAAGGGGTATGATATACACCGAAGGATCGATCTCTCGTCATCAACGAAGTGGAGAGTTAATTGCTAAAGTTGATATGAAAAAGAATCGTCTTTTCACACTTGATATTCATACGAAGTGCTAAAGTGCATGAAGTTTGTCATTAAAGACGAATCATGGTTATGGCATCTAAGGTTTGGTCATCTTGGATTTACCGGCTTGAAGTTATTATCGAGAGCAAAGATGGTGAGTGGACTTCCGTAAATTAATTAGCCGAGTTCAATTATGTGAAGCTCGCATTAAAGGAAAACAACATAGACAAAGTTTTGAAGTTGGAAAGTCATGGAGAGCTAGAAAGCCTTTGGAGATTGTTCACACGGATATAGTTGGTCCATTTGATATACCATCACTTGGTGGAAACAGGTATTATCTTACTTTTATCGATGATTTTAGTAGAAAAAGTTGGGTGTATATTCTTAAAGATAAATCGAAGTTCTTGATAAATTTAAGGAGTTCAAAGCAATGGCGAGAAAAACAAAGTGGGCGGTATTTGAAGATACTTAGATCCGATAAAGGAGGCGAGTACACCTCAAAGTTGTTTGAAGGTTTCGCAAAGAAAATGGAATCATTCATCGCCTAATGACCTCATATATACCACAACAAAATGGCATTGCGAAAAGAAAGAATCACACAATTCTTGATATGGCAAGGAGCATGGTGAAAGGAAAGCACTTACCGAGAAATTTTTGGGTCGAAGCCGTTCTATGTGCTTGTTTATTTACTTAATCGATGTCTAACAAAAAGCATAAAATTCAAAACGCCTAACGAAGCATGGAGCGGTAGCAAGCTCAGCGATTGGACATCTCGGGATTTTTGGATGCATTGCATATGCCCATGTTCCCGACCAAAAAAGAAAGAAGTTAGATGATAAAGGAGAAAAATGTATCTTTATTGGCTATGAGAATTAAGTAAGGCATATAGATTGTACAATCCTTTGACCAAGAAGGTGATCATTTCACGAGATGTTAAGTTCGATGAAGCAGATTATTGGAGATGGAGCAAAGAAGATAAAGAAGTTAAAGGAATATTTTTTAATGACGATAATGATGATGATTTCAACATACAAAATGAGCAAGGTGATGACCGGACTCCTCCACAAAGTCCAACTTTAACAACACCCGAATCGACACCATCAACATCGTCGGGAAGCGACAGATAGTAGCAACAATTCGGGGGAATACTCGAAAACCTACGGAGTCTAAATGATATTTATGATTCCACGGAACTCGTGTAGACAACATTCGATTACTCCTTATTCCGTTTAACGACGGAGTGTGATCCAATAATGTACGAAGAGGTCGCTAAAGAGGAGAAGTGGAAGAAGGCTATGAATGAAGAAATTGCTCGCAATCAAAAAAAATGACACATGGGAATTAACGAGTCTTCCAAAAGGACACAATGCAATAAGAGTCAAGTGGGTGTACAAGACAAAGACTAATCCATAAGGAAAAGTGGAAAAATATAAGGCAAGATTAGTTGCTAAAGGCTATAAACAGATACAAGGAATAAACTATGAGGAGGTGTTTGCTCCAGTTGCAAGAATTGATACTATTAGACTTCTCACAAGCAGTCGCAAGCACAAAATAAATGGAAGATTTATCGGATGGATGTGAAATCTGTATTCTTGAATGAGTTCTTAGAAGAAGAAGTTTATATCGAGCAACCACCAGGATATATTAAAAAGGGATAGGAAGACAAAGTCTACCGACTAAAGAAAGCCTTATATGGATTAAAGCAAGCTCCACGAGCATGGAACACAAGAAGAGATGAGTATTTCCGGAAGAATGGTTTTGCAAAAAGTCCATATGAGCATGCCTTGTACACGAAGAAAAATCAAGATGGTGATATTATGACTATGTGCCTATATGTGGATGATATGATCTTCACGGGAAATAATCCAGGTATGTTCAATGATTTTAAGAAAGCTATGACTAAAGAATTTGAAATGACGGATATTGGTGAAATGTCATACTTTCTTGGAATCGAGGTAAAACAAATGGAAGATGGAATATTTATGTCACAAAAGAAGTATGCGGAACAAATTCGAACAAGTTCGGAATGAAGGATTGCAAGCCGATAGCTACACCAGCAGAAGCAAGTATGAAGTTGAGGATAGATTCGAACAGAGAGTCCGTAAACCCGACACTCGTTCAAGAGTCCGGTTGGAAGTTTGAGGTACTTGACTTTCACACGCCCGGATATTATGTACGCGATTGGACTAGTCCGTAGATATATGGAGAAGCCAAAGCAAGATCACTTCATTGCGAGCAAAGAGAATTTTGAGATATGTCAAAGGAACAACGGATCATGGTTTATTTTATACATCTTCTCAAGATTCAAAGTTAGTTGGTTATTCGGATAGCGATTATGATGGAGACTTGGATGATCGAAAAAGTACTTCCGGATATGCATTTCATATTGGATCGGCAATATTTTCATGGTCATCAAAGAAGCAACAAACAATTACTCTCTCAACATGTGAAGCGAGTATATAGTCGCGACGAGCATGTACA